AATCAAAAGTTGTTATAAATATTAAATTCCAAGGTTACACATTTTTTTAATGACGAAAGTAAATCTATCTAGAACTTATTCCAACATTTGGACAATTATTCCTCGTATGCCCGAGAAGACGACATATTCTGCACAATCTTTCCATTTTCTCAGTTGTATCCATTTCTGTTGTAATTCACGTGCTTTTGAGGCGACCCTTTTTGTTTCGTCTCATATTTTCGTTGTGGTAGATTGTGTCTCCGTGATAGGTTGGCCAATAGTCCTCACTAGCTACCACTGGAAAACTGTTATTGTAGATACCGAATAAGTTCACGACCTTGTAAACTTCTGATAGTTGCAAGAATGGATCGTGACGAGCACTGGAACATGCGGCAATGACATGTGAACAAGGCATGCAGAAGGTTTGAAACTTTTCGCAGTCGCACCATTTTTTATGAATTTCCACCCTATAGTGTCCCATTGGCAGACCCTCGTTGTGATCCATTGTCTCATCAATAATGAAGCTGTAATCGTGACGGTCAAATGATCTAACTCGATGTGAGGCCACCTTAGAAGTTTCATCCTTCATATATTTCATACATGATTCACTGAATATTTGCCCTGATTCCAAAACAACACTCCATTTTTTGCCTCTTGCCACAAAAAGTGACCCCAATCTGTAATAGGTTGCTCTTACCAACGCAGTGATGGGGAGGTTCCTAGTTCCCTTAAATACGCCGTTTAGGGATTCTACAAGATTTGTGATCATGTGACCCCATCTGCATCCTCCATCAAAAGCCCTTGTCTATTTCTCGACTGGAATGCTATCCACCCAGCTTAATGCTTTCGCGCTTGACAATCTTATTTCTTCGCGGTAATACATGAACGATGGTTGGTTTAAGGCATACCCAGCGTTCACAACTTTTTTACGGAGATTTCTGTCTTTTATTTCCCGCATAAAATTCTGAGCAATGTGTCTTATGCAGTAGACATGGACAGAAGGAGGATTGTGCCAACCATTAGCAGGATTGTTGTATGCGCTCACAATAGAGGCATGTCTGTCAGAAATCAGACATAAGTTGGATTGAGGAGTGACATGTGTTCTGAGATTTCTGAGGAAGAAACTCCAAGCTTCACCTGCCTCACCCTCGACCAGAGCAAAGGTAATCAGAAATATATTATTATTTCCGTCTTGTGCAACCGCCATCAGCAATGTTCCTTTGTATTTTCCATACAACCATGTTCCATCGACTTGAATAACCGGTTTGCAAAACGCAAAACCTTTGATACACGGTTGAAATGCCCAAAAGAGATGAGAGAATATCCTACTTCCATCAACACATGTTCCTTCAAGAGTGTATGCTGGAAGTGACTCCATTATTACAACCGTACCAGGAACATATTTTTGAAGTGCTAGTAAATACTGTGGAAGTTGATTGTAAGATTTTTCCCAATTCCCATATACATGTTCAACCGCTTTTATTCTTCCAATCCAAGCTTTCCTGTACGATGGGGTATAGTTGAACCGTGCAACAACATGAGAGATAATTGTGCTCACCTTCACAGATGGATCTACGCCCACAAGATGCAAAATCTCTTGGCATATCAATTGAGAGCTTAGTTTTCTATGATCTTGCCATTTGATGTTGGTTGTGCAACTATGAGGTGGATCCATCGAACCTATCTCCCACAATCACTTCTTTTCTGATAGGACGCTACTAACCGAAACTTGCAATATTCATTACGACAAACTACCACATAGCGTTTTGAGTCATTCCGATTTATGTAAAAATCAACAAAGTTATCCATATGAAACTTTCTTACCGCTTTCATGCACTCTGCTTTTGTGCGGTATTGGTTCCCCACTTTCAAAACACCTTCGATTTGTTGAGAAGGATTGTAGAAAAAATATGAGGAAGTATCGTCTCCACTCAATTACAAGTTAGTCATGTGTTGGGAAGGACAATACATATGACTTAATGGTAGTACCTCTTCATCTATGTCTTGAAGTGGAGTTGTTGTGGTGTAGTCCCCAGTCCCGAACAAATTAACCATTTGATCAACCATGGCCTCAGGTTCTTCTTCCTCCTCATCCACAACATCAACTACATCTAGATCCATTGTTTCGTCGTGAGATTCACCAACTTCATGTTGAGTCTGGCAGAGTAATAGATAAACCTCAATATAGTCGAACCCAGAGTGTTCATGACTATCAAACATTTGTTGAACATCGTTGTCGTCTTGTATATTCTCTTGAAAATACTTGACTTGATTGTTGTCAAAGAAAACGAGACTTCTGTATATGATTTGAGTGATTGGACCAGACAATATCTTCGACTCTATTCACTCTTTGAAATGCAAAAAAATTGATTTTCTGCTCATTGTTAATCGGGTAACATCTGTATTTTGAAACCCAAAACCCGAATTTTCAGAGATGTATGTGTCTCTATTAAAATGAGCATGAACAATATAATTTGTTGTTCTAGACATATTTAAATAAAAGTGTAAGAGATGTATTTGCATAAAATGAGATGTATTTAAATTTGTCTTCAATGTATACATATATAATAAAAGTGCACGAATTAAATAATAATAAATGGTAAAGGGAGACGCCATCCATGATGGAGCCCCTTTCTTAAAGTTAAAGGGAGGCGCCATTCATGGTGGAGTCACTTCCCTAAAGTTAAAGGGAGGCGCCATGGTGGTTGGAGTCTCCTTGACATGTGTACGAAAAGTACATTTTGCATGCATGCAAAATGCAAAGTGTGGAGGATTCTCTACACACTTCATCTACCTCATTTATTTTTCTACACATCAATCAATATTTCAACTACACCAATTTAATTTTTCACTCTACCATAAATTCAAAATTCAAAATTCAAATTCAGATTTTTTACTATAAATACTTCTTCCTCCTCATTGTCAAAACTCATCAAATATATCCAACAATTCAAATTCTACCAATATTTTTTTCATATATTCACACTATATAGTCCATAGAAGAAATGTCTCTGTTAACATTGGGCGAAATGCATAGGGAACACCAAGCAACATCGCGTCTTATGTAAGTATTTGTACCCAATAATTCACAATGTTGTATTGATTTGTAGCATTCTACTGTTGTTATAAATACAATATTGTAATGATTTGTTGCATTGATTTGTAGAATACTCATAACTTCCGAACTCGTGGGCATAAATGTAAGAACACAGATTGTGTCTTAGTAATATCTCTATGTTTTGATGATAACTCTTATGAAATTTTGTACTAAAGAATTATATACTCTAAAATTGGTTCATGAATATTTGCTGCAGATGATTAAAGTATATATACATCCAAGAGCAAATTAATCTGAACATGGAACTATGGAAGACTCTGAAGAGTCAGAATCATCTTATAGAAGAATCTGAGCGTTGTCTGCAGAAGAATTTGAAGCAGAAGCTACAGAAGAATCTGAAGCAGAAGCTACAGAAGAATATGAAGCAGAAGACTCTAATAAGATCTGAAGACTCTGAAGCATTGAAGAACTTTGTATGAGAGTTAAGAAGCACAGTTTTTCAGAAGACTCTGAGAGTACTGTATGTTGCATGTACTGAGGATCTGATTCATAAAACTCTGCTCTGATAGAACTACACGCTAAAGCACACTTGCTGTATTACTCTGATTCACCAAAATCTGATGGGTATCCAAGACTCTAATCATGCAGACTCTGATGTTAACTTTGCTGAAAAGAAATACTTGTTGAAGAAGAATTCAAAGTAATATCTTTTGATTTGGTTCAACGACTCTTTCCTCTTTCATGCTTGACACTAGAACACAGACCAAAAGCATTTTTCTGTGCATTCTATTTCCAGGAAAGGTCATGTGATGTAAAGACAAAAAGGTTCAGACCTTTTTAGTACACAGCCTCCAACGTCAAGACTTTGTGGACTACTGTGCATATAAAAGCAAGTCTTCATCATCTTCTTCAGTAGTGATCTATAACTAACAAATCTATATAGAAACTGTTACAAGCTCTCATAAAATATTCTTATTGCTGAGTTTATTCTTTTGTTCTTAACATTAAGTGAAAAATCACTGTTGTGATAAAAGCTTGTTAGAAGCATTCATACACTTGTATTAATCTTACATTTCATTGTAATAGTTCCTTAAGAAGATCCAGTTGGGATCAGTAGTTCCTGAGAAGACTTTGAACAGTTGTTCTTAGTGCTTACTATTGTAATCAGTTGATTAAATAGTGGATTAAGTCCTTGTTTGAGAAAGGCAAATCACTCTAGATAGGGTGGACTGGAGTAGTTGAGTTCAACGAACCAGGATAAAAATACTTGAGTTTTTACTTCTAAGTTTTATCTTCATACTTATTCAACCCCCCCTTCTAAGTATTTTCTCACCTTCAATAAACATTTCCATGTGACCCGATAATTCAACCATTTTTGGAGCACGCAGGATTTGGAGAAGTCATCAAAATAACAAATTATCTCCTTGATACCAAGTTCATTTTAGCACTTCAAGAAAGGTGACGACCCGAGACGCATACATTTCATCTTCCAATAGGTGAATGTGCTGTTACTCTCGAGGACACTTACATGTTATTGGGTTTACCTATTATTGGTAAGGCGGTAAACGGTCTCACCAATCCTAGCGGTAGTGTGATAGAAGAATTTTTAGGGGTTGAACCAACCCCACGCGATTTGAGGGGCCAAAAAATATTATTATCATGGCTCAAAAAAATTTTTAGAGAGATGAGGTTAACCCGAGACTCTCCAGAAATATTGAAAATTAGAAAAACAAGAATTTATATTATGATACTCATAGGTTTATTTTTATGTCCGGATTCAAGTGGTAACACTATTCATGCTATGTATTTAGTTTTATTAGATGAAATAGATAAAATAAGAACATATAGTTAGGGCTCCGCTACACTAGCGCACCTATATCAGTCTTTGTGTAACAACACAATAGCAAATTCGGGAAATTTTACCGGATGTGGTGTTCTTCTTCAAGCTTGGGGTTGGTCAAGAATGACCAATCTAGCACCTATCCAACACAATAATTTCGAATTCCCATATGCTACAAGGTAATTACTTAGACCAAGAATGACCAATCTTTCATAGTCTTTTACTTAATTAATCCTATTATTAACAAATGTTTTCTTTTCGATTTGTAGGTGGTCTTCACTTGGGATGAATTACGACAACTGTCCCCATTTTAGTATCACCCAATATAGAAATCTTGTAGATCATTTGGGTCAAGATGATGTACCCTCAGTAACCTACCTATTTAGACTATAGCCTCCTTGAATATTATTAGAAAATACTAAATATTATTTTTTTCTCCTACAGTTTATTTGGCGGCCATATCTTGCTCTAGAAGCCATTCATGAAGTTGACGAACACGACTCTGCAGTGTGGAGTGCAAAGGTGCCGATTATCAACTTCACTGCCATGGAAATGCACAACAGTGATCGTGTCAAGCTTCAGTTTGGAATGCTGCAAGATATTCCATGTCCGCCAAAATGCATCCCCGACAAGTATCACACCGGTAAAGTCTCCGACCAATGGGAATATTCTCCATGGACCAAGTATGCAAAACATGAGTGTCGTGAATGGAAGCATCGCCACCATTTTGTTTTGTCCGACACTATGTTGCCACATAAGAGAAAACAGTCTATCCAATACATGAATTAGTATAGGTCGGTATTGTTGCACCCTAATTTTTGACCATAAGAGTCTGTCTCCTTGTTCTTTTTGTTTTGTTTTTTTTACGGCTAACCGTTTGGTGCAGGCATAATTTGTGATAAATGGATAGTACTCTTTCCCTCAATCGAACACTTCAAGGCATAACCAGTGGATCCTAACCTGTCCGTCCTAAGTTTTCCACTTAAATGGAGATTGCACTTCTAGAACTCTTTCTCCTTCTTTGGGCCATTCATGAAGACATCATAGATTGAATCTTTGTTTACGTCTCTTTAAAGTCAAGGGAGGATTTTGGTTTCTAATATATCAAAGGCACTTCAAGAACATGATACTATGACGTTTGATTATTGAGGATATTCGGGATCAATTGCAAGGAGCAAATATTGACGAACATAGAGTCGTGATCAAAGTTGGCACATCTACTCTCGATACGAGCTACTGAGAATTTGAGAATTAGATAGCTAGAAAGTTGAGTTTATAGTGCAAGTGCAAGAGGGTGGATTCCTTTTGTTCTTTCGGATGCTGGTCATTTGTGTTTGGAGCATTAAATTAGAAGTTTCATCGAATTAAATACGAAATGGTGATGCATACATATTGTCATTAAATCCAATTTGAGTGATAAGCAAGGTCTTAACCATATGAAGAAGGAAGGATCAAAAAAAGCCATGAATTCATTTCTAAATACATACAGGGAGCAATTCCATACAAGGCATCTATTCTCTTGACTTATTTTACTCAAGCCAAGAACTATGATAACGACAACTTCGAGGCAATTCCAAAGATTAAAAGCATACTCATACAATGTACATGCCTTTGGTACTGAGACCAATTTAAAAGAAATACTAAGACTACTACTTAAGGTTCAATACAAAATGCAAATTAGCTACAGAAGGTCCCTTTTAAATAACACTTCCAAGTAAATCACAAGGCCAACTTTCAGGACCCCTGTCGCGGTGCGTAGCATGAGCCTTATAGTTGTCGAGGATTGACGATGATGGCAGTAGAAGAGATCGTGTGACTTTGATTATCCAAATGTGTGCAGAACCTAGAATATCCAAGCAGGACCTTATACCTTATTCTGTGTGTTGAGCATGATCCAAAACCGTCTTCCAACTACGAACACAGGTTGTTACTCCAACAGGATCCGTCAAGGCGCCGTAACTGCACCCGTTCTCCGGTGTACTCACAAACCTGAAACAGTAATAAGAAGAATCAGGCTATAAACAATCAAGTTATCGAAAGCAGGGAGTATATGCTATCAGTTGATATTTTGTGGGTTCTCCAACAATACGGCAAAGACGACAGAGTCATCATACCCACTCTAAAGATAAACAGAAAAACTCTTGCAAATGTTGTTCCTACCATTGAAAAAGCACCATCAACATCAGCAACAACTTGTGCTTGCACGACAGAATTTGACATCACCATCCGTAAGTGAAGAAAGTAGAAGGTTGGGAATGCAAAACTGAAAGTTGAGCTTGCTGGTAAGATAGAGTACGAGTCATTAAACGACGACGGGGTGGGAAATATACTGCAGGATACCACAACTTCCTACCAAGCATCAAAAGCAATGAAGAAATCACTTACTGAACCAAGGGATTCGAGTGGGACTTGCTCCAAACTTCCGCCAAAGCAATCCAAATATGTCTGCGCAACCTGCATACCGAAAGAAAGCTGCCAAATGAAAATAAGATTCATGGTCCGGAACTTTATCATTATGCTGTCTTCTCTGACAATGTTCTGACACGTGGAGTGGTTGTTAAATCAACTGTGTCTAATTCCAAGAAGAAATATAATACAGCCATACATCTGCAGCAGAAGCATTGCAAGGAAAAGCACAGCATAAAGTAATCACATACACATCGAAAATAATACACAGAGGAATCAAGTACACTGCATTTAACAAACTCAAATTCCATGAAGGTACCTCATTAAGATTACAAGTTCTTCTGTATACGAAGGGACGTCGTGCAGTACAAATTTCACATAAAACTCTCGCGTCTCACTTTTCGCTCGCAAGTCCAGTGTTGCTCTTGTCAGATTTCAAATTCTTCAAAGCCTCGGAGATTTAGTCACATTAGGATACCTTTGTAATAATTTAATGTGACAATATTACCATCAGTAGTCTGTTGGCCTCCACAGATGTGTATCATGCCAACCTTCATGATTTTGAAATAAAGTGGTTCAGCCAGGAACACCAAAGATCAAGCATAAGGGTGAAAAGGAACACAATAGAGGTTATCAGTCTACAATTGAAGATGATCATTTGCAGCAATACCTCACCCAATACCATTGGACCAACCGAAACGTCCTTCAGCTGTGCACGTATTGCTGATCCTACAAAAGAGAAAATGGAAGGAGACGCAATGTTAAGAATTGAGGATGCGATAACTTTACCAATAACCAACTTTCAGTTGATAACCCTACCGTTTCATTCACCAGTTCCGTGCTTTGGTTTTGGTGATGCTACTACACGTATTCAGCTTTCGTAGTGATCATTCACCTTGCCATGGCTTTGAGGAAGTTTTGGATTGCTACAGAAAATTTTGTTCCAAACTTGAAACTCTCAGAATCCACTATGGACCGCTGGCCCAACAACTCAACCGTTATTCACACCTGCCAAATCACAATCCAAAATTAGCAAAAATCAATCAGGAATATTCCCACAACAAGATCTGTTTCTCTCAATTAAGTCACAAAATCAGAAGATTGACAGTCATTACTACAATCATTTGGAAAAGGAAAGTTTTCAATTTGATTTATCAAATGGGGAATGTTTTTGAATCTGGCTCAACCCAAAACAGAAAATCCAATCAGCATTCAAACTCCTAATCAATTCTTTAACACAGAAAATCACAATTGAACCTTATATAAGAAGAAGAGGAACACCAATAACAGGGTGTGTGGAAAAAAACCTAACTCGAAAATTTTCAAGAGAATTGAACAAAGAGAACTTATCTTCTCAGTACGTCAGAGCCCTCACCAGCCACCGCGAGCATAACTGACGACGCTTCCATCCCGTCACCTTGAACACGACCCCACGGTCCCCAATTTCTGGTAAGCCAACGATTCGCACCGAGATTATTGATTCTTTAATAGTTTTCTTGTTTGTTTCAGGTGAATAGATGAAGGAAACGAAAGAGACGGTGAAAACCGGTCGCGATTTGGGAAGGAGATAATGAGAACAGCGGTCGGTCGATCGATTTGGGGGGAAGAGACTCAATTTGGGGCATTAGGGTTCTTGCTTTCGTTTTTTTTCCTGTTTTGTTGTTATGTAATCATATACAGTCACCACACAAATCACACACTCACCGTGCGTTTAATCACTAATCCAAATTAATTAAACCCTCAATCTACCCATTAATTTAATAATTAACCTTTTTAATTAATTAAATAATTATTATATTAATAAGCCTTATTTTAAATTAAAACAAACTATAACCTTTTATTAATCAACCGGTAATTAAATTAGTTTTTTTATTACTTTGAACTAATCTCTTTTTACTTAATTATTTGTTTTTTTATTAATCATAAATAATTTGATATATCTCATTCACTTTACTTTTTTTATAATTATCCTATTTAAATTAATGGGAATTGTTCTTTAAAATATTTTTTAGATAACTTTTATTTAATAATAATAATACACCCTTTTGTTTTGAAATTATCTCACACTTAAAACAATTTTAAAATAAATTAATAAACCTTTTTTTTAAATTAACTTCTATCTCTTAGGATAATATCTAAAAAATATTTTATTTAATAAATCCTATTTATTTAAAATCAATTCACATTCAAAAATCTTTTTGCTAATAAAATTAAAATAACTTTTTTTTTAAAATCAACTCCATCAATCTAACTTTTTTTATTAAAACCAATAAACAACTTTTTTTACAAAATTAATCTCCTTATAAAATAATTATAACGTCCTAAAATCAAATTCACCTAAAAAAATCAAAGTCTCACTAAAATAAACTCAACTTTCTCCTAAAATCCAGTAATCAACCTTTTTCTCAAAATCAATCTCTCAAATTAATCAGTTTCACATATAAAATCGAATAAACCTCACTAAAACACAAATCAACTCAAACTAATCAACTCCGCCTAAAATCAATCAACGGCGTAAAATATAACCTAACCGTGCACTTCACGACACATTCACTCACCTACACCTTAGCGCTTTCATGCGTGTGTATGGTTTTACTTTCCGCAATTTATCTTCTGCAATTTAATATTATCACATTTATCTTTACCACATTTACATTTCTGCCTTGCATTCCGTCCAAAGAAAGAACCTGCGCATGACCTTAACAATCGTGCGTATGCATCATTTGCATCATATTCCCCATGATCCTTGATTCCATTCAAGTTGATATCTAGGATAGATCCTACCCTATAGGAAGGACCGTTATCCTTTACAACATAGAAACAAACAAACAAATACAATACAAAAAATATTCAAACACATTAGAGAAAGATGTTAATCATCTTAAGCGAGATAGAATCTCCACCCCACATCAATACAGTCAATACCGTAGGAACTTTGCCTTAAGAGAGGCGTACCTCGTTGATCCCTATCCGAGTACTTGAGCCCTTCTCTTAAGATGATGCAAAGACTAAATTCCTACAACTTGTGGCGGTTAAATCTCCCTTAAAATGACAACACATCTTTTCTCCTAAAATCAACCAAACAACTACCATAAACCCGTAGGAACTTTGACCACAGTCAAAGAACTCCTCATACCCTTTAGGGGAACTACAAATACTCTGATTCCACTCCCGTAAGGATATGTAGGCATAAGATGCGACATCTTATCGAGTATACTTAGAAATAAACCCCTAGGTCTTTCAGCCTTAAGCAGATAAACACTTAGCAATAAACAAATATAAAACAAGAGGTTCCTGTAGAGTACTATAGAAACTTAGGATGCTAGCACCTTCCCTAAGTTTAACCGACCCCCGAACCTAAAACTCTCTAAACCTTGCATTTG